ATATATATATATATATATATATATATATATAAATATATATATTATTATATATATATATATATATATATATATATATATATATATATATATATGTATTGATATTATATAGATATATATACATTGATAGTATATATACACACACACATATATATATATATATATATATCGATATATAGTTAGATATAGATAGATAGATATGCGTATATGTGTGTCTTGTGTCTGTGTCCGTGTCTGACTGTCTGTGTGCGAGTGCGTATGTTTGTTCGTTTTTGTCTGTGTGGGTGTGTCTTTATATATATGTTCATATACATATCAGTGTGTGTGTGTGTATGTGATTTTGTGTTTTGGTGTGTGTGTGTGTGTGTATATATACAATATTGATATAGATATAGATATAGATATATGTTTGTATTTGTATTTGTTCAGTATACATATATATATATATGTGTGTGTGTGTGTGTGTGTTATGATGTATATATCTTTATACGTAAGTTTTTGCGAGTGGCTCTGGTGATGGTTGTCTTACATTAAGTGTTTATAAAATAATAGTTACATTTTACCTTCGGACGAAAAACCATGGTATATAAGTGACACACATATCGAGAACGGAACTAAAACTCGGAATACCTCCTCAGTCCACAATCCCTCGCAATCTCTTGATACTGCAAGGCAGGATAAGGTCTCTTTTTACGACATGATTTTGATACATCCACGTATATGTCGTTAATTCGCAGGCTTCCAACTACGACTTTAGTGGAAGCAGTGGGGACGAGGACCGCAATTTCGAGGCTGCACATAAGCGCTCGGGTCAGTTTATTCTATTAATAGCACATCCAAAAGATTTGTAAATCCTCCCTAGCAAGCCACGGTTGCTCCCAATCTCTTTGGACACATGCTTCAGCAGACAGAAACCCTCTTGTTAACGCTGAATGTGTGTGTGTGTGTGTGCGTGTGTGTGTGTGTGTGTGTGTGTTGTATGTGTGCGTGTGTGTGTGTATGTGTGTGTGTGGGTTGTGTGTGTGTGTGGTGTGTGTGTGTCATTCGCTGGATTATTCCTGGTTTTATTAAGATTGATTGGCTATCTGATGTCACATTGTACGATTGGTGCGTTACGCCCGTTTCATACGTTCGAGCAGTTCGAGCACTTGGCATCAACACGGAACGTGTACGTATGCACGGGTCGACTAGAGTTGCTTCTTTCCGTTTGTTACGCCAGTCCTTCAGCTTCTAGCTATGGTTGTAACCGATTGCCTTGTGGGCGCCTATTGGAAACGTTAAGTACATGTATCCTTCCTTACCACTCCCGCTCATGCGCACCTCGATATATGTATGTGCATGTATACTGAGGTCACTTCTGATCGAAGTAGGTGTATATACATAACTTCGATACGTGTATATACATAAACTCGATACGTGTACATACATAAAATCAATACATGATATACATAAACTCAATACATGATATACATAAACTCAATACGTGTATTTACATAAACTCAATACTTGATATACGTTAACTCAATACGTGTATATACATAAACTCAATACATGATATACATAAACTCAATACATGATATACGTAAATTCAATACGTTAATATGCATATACTGGCGTATCTCTTGAGCACATCGCTCGCTTTCATGCGTACAAGTAACAAGTTCATGGCGTTTAATGTGGCCAGTGAGGAATTGAAACATGGTAACAGATACATATGCATGTGTATGTCTAAGCTGACGTATGTTTTGATCTCATATCCCACAGTCATAAGTGCCAGAAACGAGTTCATGTCGATAAATACAACAAGACCACGCGTGTGCACACCAACATACCAAGATACATGTACCTATCTATATTTGGAGACATCTCCTTATACGATTCACGTAGACATATACTGACACATCTACTGTATAGACATATACTGACACATCTACTGCATATACATATACTTACAAATCTACTGTATATACATAAACTGACACATCTACTGTATATACATATACTGGCACATCCACTGTATATACATATACTGACACATTAACTGTATATATATATACTGACACATCTAATGCATATACATTTACTTACAAATCCACTGTATATACTATACGGACACATCTACTGCATATACATATACTGACACATCCACTGTATATACATATACTGACACATCCACTGCATATACATATACTGACACATCCACTGTATATACATATACTGACACATCCACTGTATATACATATACTGACACATCCACTGCATATACATATACTGACACTTCCACTGTATATACATATACTGACACATCCACTGCATATACATACACTGACCACGTCCCTTGCAGTCATGCGTGCCAGAAAAGAGTTCATGCCGTTGAATATGACCAGTGAGGAAATGGAGGAGACTGCCAGGGCCAGAGGCAGACACGGCACATCAGCGTTGGCCGATATTGAGCCGATGGAGTGTGATAAGGAGGTTGGATTCACGGATATCGGGTAATACTGCTTGATGTACAGAATATGTATATATGTATATATATATATATATATATATATATATATATATATATATATATATTATATATATATATATATATATTATATATATATATATATATATATATGTATGTATATACAATTCTGTTCATGTGATTCATACGTGTTTTATACGTTTATTTTGTGCTCGACTCACATGCGGATCTCGGGGTTTTTTGTTGTTGCTTTTTTCCGTGTTCTACCTTCGCAAACCTGATCCTCAACTGACCGGAATATTCAAAATGTGTGTCCTTAACGTAGTGGATTGGACAGGACAATTGATACCCTTAAGGAGATGGTGATTTTTCCGCTGCTGTATCCCGAATTCTATGGTGAGTGCGTGCATTATGTGTACACATGCATGTGCGTTTGCAATCGCATATATATAAAGTAAGTACAGGCGCATGTATCAACGTATGGTTTAACGAATTGTGTACTGAAACAACCCATTTATGCATGGTTGTGCACATATCATGTACTCTAAAGAACAAGACTCTATTCAGGATCTTCCCTTATATAACGATATTTTGTACACCGTATTCTACCCCCAACATGCCGGTGTGCTTTTCAATACACCTCTAGCAGTATGGTTTGACTCTATGCGAAACATATATACTTAACGTACTGATGCTCTATCCAGGCACTTATCCCGTGTAATGTTGCTATATCTCATCCATATATGCCTAGCGTACTGCCGCTTTTTCATTCCCCACCTCCTATACCCAGCCTACTGGTACTCTATTATCTACACTCGAAATCAAGCACACCGATATTCATTTTCGAAGCATACCGGTATTCATTCTTACACCCTAATACTCCCACCCACAATTCCCCACCTCCTATACTTAGCCTACTGGCACTCTATTCTCTACACTCGACATCAAGCATACCGATATTCTTTTTCGAAGCATACCGATATTCATTTTTGAAGCATACCGATATTCAATCTTACACCCCAATACCCACAACACCCACCCATAGACCATTTCAAGGTGAAATCGGCCAGAGGCATTCTTCTTCATGGGCCGCCTGGGACGGGCAAGACACTCGTTGCACGTGCTCTGGCCAACGAATGTACCAAAGTGGGGTGCCAGAAGGTACTGTTGAGGATTCCTCTTTAATTGGCTAGTGTGCTGTGTGCGGGTATGTGGGCGATACCTCCTGTTAATGGGGTATTGCGCCATGCTCTGTTGTCATGCTGGATGCTTGTTGCGTGAACACTGGACAACGCATGCACTATATTTGGACGACAAAAGGTATATCGAGCTCTTCGTTATTTGGCCGTTGTATGTTCTGGCTTCTCGTCAGGCGCTAGTTGCACAGGCTGTAGCCAGCCAATGCCCTCAAGTGGGTGGACAGATACTTTTGCGAGTTCCTCTTTAATTGGCCATTGTACTATTTCCTGAGTATTAAACCCACTCCCTTGATTCCCGTCTCGTTAGGGGTTAGTGGACTTCTGTTAAATAACGAGTGACAAAAAATGAGTTCCTCTTTAATTGGCCATTGTACTGTCCTGTGGGTATTAAACTCGCCCTTTTGATTAGGTATTATACTTTGTTCCGCCATCTCGTTAGGGGTGGTTAACGACTGGGTGTGTACGACAGTGGAGGGCCATATGTATTGCACGCAAGTGTACCTGAGGGTGGGATGGTGGGTGTTTCTTTTGTCTGGGGCTTTGGGGGTTGTAAATATCTGAGAAGTGATGGTCTCACACTGATCCTGGTAGTCCTTATATAATCGACCGGGGTCTCATTTTGATTTTTGGGCCGGCTTGTGAGTCTAGGTCTTGTCTATCATATCGTGTCCATGGTACAATGAATTAAACAGGTGCTTCCGGATGGTCTCCGCCTATAGAAATCGAGAGAAATCTGAATTCTCTTCTCTCCAATTGGGCGTGCACGTGCAAATGCTGATTTCTCGTCTTCCCTATTGGACGCAGGTCGCGTTCTTCATGCGCAAGGGATCGGACTGTCTGTCGAAGTGGGTGGGAGAGAGTGAACGTCAACTGCGGCTGTTGTTTGATCAGGCCTACTTACTGCGGCCGTCGGTTATATTCTTTGACGAGGTAAGGGGTGTATCCGGCAAACCACACAGCTCATATATAGGCAGAGGCTGTAAGGGTGTATTCGGTACAATTAAGGCCCTTTATGTGGGCAAAAACATGTTGTGCCCAAGCTGGTGTAATCTAGCACGTATGTTTGGTGCGATTGTCTGTCATCGTCTGCAACGAGATATGGGCACCCTGAACCATACCTATGGCAGATTGCTTGACCAATAGAGCGCTCCGTATCTAATAGAATAATGGGCACATGTATGTGTATGTTTGTAGAGAATGTTAAACCGCATAGTTTAGGTGTTAATGTCGAATTGTGTAGGATTGATTGAGTGCCAATTACGGATGTTATTCTACTTCGACCGTTTATATATATATATATATA